ATCTGCTCCACTCTAATGTGATAACATTAACCCACTCATAGGGGTGGAGAGAACCACGTGATGGTTAATCTTGTCGACTTGACAAGATCCAGTCACCAGGGAAACAAATCTCTGGGTATGTCTGTGAGGGATTTTCTAGATTAGGTTGAGGTAGTAAAACCCACCCAAATGTGGACACCACCATTCCACTGGGGTCCTAGACTGGATAAAAAGAAGGACGCTGAGCAGTAGCACTCACTGCTCTCTGCTTCCTGACTGAATGCAATGCGACCAGCCGCTTCCCACTATGGCTTCATGGATCCCCCACCTCAGGATGGATGTATCCCCTCCAACAGCAACGGAAACAAATCCTTCCTCCCAGATATTTTGTCACAGCAACGAGAAAAGAAATTAATATACCCCAAGATCTAATTACCATCTACTAGATCCCACTTCTTAAAGATTCCACAACCTCAACACAGCAACTGGGGACCAAGCCACTAGCACATGAACCTCTGTGGACACTAACCATATGTAAATATAGCATGCATGCTAGTGTGTGTGTGTGTATACATTTACACACATATATACATATCATCATGTTGGACTGTTTGCAGTATTCGCTACCACCGATATCAAGTAGAGCCTCATTGCTAAGTATCTATGTGCGTACATATAGACATATATGTATTTTATGTACATATTTCCTTAGTTCAATTGCTCTCCCAAATAACTATTATACACTGTCCCTTCTCCAACTCTTCCTCATGCCCACTATCTGCTAATGCCTTAGCTATCTATTTCACCTAAGAAAATAAGAGCTGCTCATAACTTTTACATGTTCCCACCACTGCATCTATCACCTTCTATCTGTACCCATTCCATCTCTCCACTTGGTGCTAGAACTCAACCCATCTCACCCCACATGCAAAGTCCTTGCTCTAGCAACTGTTTCCCCTTTCTCTCCTACATCATCAGTTATCAACTCTCTTTTCCCATGGGTCCTTTCAGTCAGCACAGAACACGCAATGTACTCTGCCAACGGTTATCGCTCAACAGCTCTCAGTGATCAGTGCCTCCTGGTAGTCACATTCTTGGAATGTCCCTTCCTGCATTAGATGAGTTTAGTGTATATGAACAATGTAAGACAACAGAAGTGATAATGTATACTTCCCAAATTAGGTCACAAAAGATATTAGTGCTTTCTCTCTCATACAATAATCGCCATCTATTCCTCTCTTTGATCACTCACTCTGAAATCAATATTGAGGTAGTATACAAGGGGAAGACATGGTGTGGAACTCGCCAACAAACACCAAAGAACTGAGGCCTAACAGTGACATAAGGAAGCTTGTAAACCAAGCCTCTAGCTCCAGTCCTAAAATGACTACAGGCCAATAGCGTCTATGTACAACTTTATGGAAGAACCTAAGCCAGAACCACCCAACTAATTAGCTACTTTTAGATTCTTAAACCTTAGAAATGGTATAAGAAATGTCTATTGTTTTAAGTTGCTATGTTTTGGGATAATCTGTTACACAACTGAGAATAGAGCATCAAATTAAGAAGGATAAACCTGCTTAAATTTCACCGCCCCTTTTGCTGCACTCACATCTCCCTACCTCTTCATATTAAATATTCATCATAAAAATAAACAACACATTGTTTTACTTTTTCTTCCTTTATTCTCATTTTAATTCTCTACAATCAAGATGACCAATGCTCCTCACGTTATTAAGTTCAGTGGTAAATTCTCAGTCATACTAAGTTCAGTGGTAAATTCTGTTATAACTGGCTTTTTGTTTGCCCTGCTTGAGGGTAATGAATTCTGCAATAGAAAATCAAAATAAGACAAAGGAAACCTACATGTGTTACGTAGAGATAAGCATGAGATAAAAGATATATGCATTGAGCAGACAATGGGGTCAAAAAGACCAACAATCCTAAGGCACAGTTACTAAATACACAAAAGATCCCCAAGAGTCAGGATCACGTATGTATGGCACATAAAAAGATCTCAATATTCATGATGATTTAATTTGGCCACCTATCTGTGATATCCATTCTGGTATGTATCTACTGCCTAAAATCAAAAAAAATTCATAACTATTCAGCAGATTAAATAGAGACAAAGCTGTAGCCAGACAAATTTATCACTGCAACAGCATGGGAGTATAAGCCACACAGGGCACTTTCCATGTGGACCCTGATCCTTACAGCCATTTAGAACCATAGCAGGCACAAGAAAGGCTGATGAGGCAGAAATTGTGAACACTGTGCACATCCAGACTTAGGTAGCATGGCTGTTCTACCTCGCCTGCATCCCATTCTAAGCATGCTAACTTCACCCTTTGATTTTCTGTTTTTCATATTTACTTTTTAAATCATGTGATATATGTAATTTTTCAGTAAGACTGCTTTTTTTCTGTTTTGTGTATGTGTGTGTGGTATGAGTGTATAGTATTCCTGAGTATGAATGCACACATATGTACAGGTACATGTGCACATGTATACACAGAGGCCTGAAGTTAACTTTAGGTGTCTTTCTCAATCATTCTCCAGCTTATATATTGAGGTACAATCTCTCACTTAAACCCAAAGCTGGCAGACTTGGTCAGTCTTGCCAGCCAGCTTGATCTAAAGATCTCTACCTCCTGAGGGTTGATACTTAAGGAGAGCCACCATGCCCACTGAGTGTGAACACATTATTAGACACAGTTACCCACTCCTCTTTGAAACATTGTTTTCTCTGCTTATTACATGGTTATCTTCAGTGATGTATCCCATGTGTCCTCTGAAGGACTAGGTTGATGTTGCTATATAAATTCATTCCTTAAACACATTCAGTCATAGATTTAAGTACAATTGCAGGCCAATGAGTCCAAATTTTCATCTCTAGTACTAACATCTGACCTAAACTCCAGACAATTCAAAATTAAACTTTTACCTCTACCTCAAAGCCATGCATCTCTTGGGCCATTGTAGTGGTCTCTTACAGTCTCCCAGATTCCCTCTCTACTCTCCAATCTACTCTCCACCCAGCCAGTAGGAAGACTCCTTCCAAAACACAAAGCAGACATGTTCATCCTATCCCTCCCAGCTTAAGGATTCAGTGTAGCTCACTAACATCTGCACCACTATACAAACATTCCAAGCATGTTCCTACTTCAAGATCTCTCTCCCTCAGCTTGGGGTGCTCTTTCAAACCTAAATACTTTGACTTTTGGTTCCTTTGGGTCACTACTTACCTATCACTGTACCTGAGAGGACTTTGCTCACCACCCCGTTATAAATACAAATTCTGTCAATCCACCCAACCATTCCTATGCATAGCATTCCCTATACTTCAGGTTTTTTATTTTTGTCTATAATCCAGACCACTACCTGGTGTTCACTGCTGTACCTATTTACTATCCATTTCTCTAACATGAAGCTCCACAAGGTCAACAATTTGTATTCAATTTAGTCTACATTCCTATAAATTACAGAACATCAAGTGCATGGAAGGTAGTAAACAAAAATAACTGGAAAAATAAGAGACACAGCAACAGGAGATATTCCCACAGTGAGCCTCCACACCATGGCTCCATATTTGGGCAGAAGGAACTACGTGAGAGGAGAATTATAAGCATCAAAAATAGAGAAGGGAAAAGAAATACTGCTTTGCGGTCATCATGGCCCTGATGAGCAAAAAGGTACTGATAAGGAAAAATAGCTTTACTATGAAAAAAACAGGAAGACACCCTCCTAACCAAGTGATCAAAATAATATCACAGTTATTACAGAAGTATTACATATTTCTTTATATGATTCACTGAAAACATGAAATAACTTCCACAGCATTCCTGCCCAAATCAGAAAATTTGTATCTAATCATGAAAAAAATGGATTTAAAAACCTAGTGTTAGGGAAGAGACGGCTCAGTGGTGAAGTGCACTGGCTGCTCTTGCAGAGGACCTGAGTTCGGTTCCCAACACCCATGTGGTGGCTAACAACCATCCCTAACTCCAGTTCCTCTGAAAAATAGTGCCCATTAGGATGGGTGTCACACATCTATAATCCCAGCACTTGGAAGGTAAAGGCAGCAAGATCAGTCCAAGGTCATCTTTGACCCCACAGCAAGTTCAAGGCCAGCCTAGGCTACATGGAATTCTATATCATAAAAAACAAAACCAATGCAACCAATGGACATCTGGACTGGTTAAGACTTAACATACATGACAGAATGCCTGAAACCTAGTAGTGGCAGGTCCTATGGGGGGTGGGGGGGGGTAGGGAAAGGCTGTCTAAATTTGATTAAGATATATTATATGAAATGCACAAAAACTCAAAAAAAAAAAATTGGGGGGAAAAAAAAAAAAAAAAACAGGCTGTGGGGGATGGCTCAATAGTTTTTGCACCATGTAAAAAGCGTAATCAGGCGTGGTGGAGCATGCCTTTAATCCCAGCACTTGGCAGGTGGATCTCTATGAGTTCAAGGACAGCCTGGTCTACATTGGGAGTTCCAGCCAGCTGGGGCTACAGGGAGACTCTATCTCAAAAAGACCAAAAAATAAAAAAATTTTAAAGTTTTTAATTAAAAAAATAAAAAGCTCAGCTTAGTGGCCCATGCCTGTAAATCTCAGGTCTGAGGGGCAGAGACAGAAGGACACCTGGGGTTCACTGGCCAGGCAGTCTATTGGAAAGAGCAAATGCAGGTTTCAATGGGAGATCTTATTTCAAAAGGAAAGTGGTAAGTGAGAGAGGAAGACACTCAATGTCAACCTCTGCCCTCCACACACTCATGCACAGGCAAAGTACACACATACACACATAGCCCTGTGAACACATGCATATATCATATACACACAAAAATAACACCCATCATATTTCAAGGGCTCAGTATGCATTATTTTTCATTGAAACATCACACCAGATAAGACTGTAGTAAAACCTTATATTGGTACAAATGGAAAACAGTTGGCTTTAATCATTTAAATCAACCAGCCACTTCTAAAACCAGAAAAATAATGCAAAATTACCTTCATGAACTGTAATGCCACAATTGTCACACTGAATTATTTCATCTGCATCTTCACTGTTATCTCCAAGACAAACACAGCAAATCAGAATATGGTCCATTTTTTGAGAACTCCAGTTTTGACTCTTCTCAAGAATCAGCGAGTCCTAATATTAAGATATTAAAACGTATCAGTAAAACCACATTTGTAATAAAAAGTAATTTTAATAAAGATAATTCTTACTTTAAGAATGTTTCTTGCACTTCAAATTTATGTTTCACTGTTAATAACTTCAAAATATGCTACACCTCTAGCAAAGGTATATCAAAAACCCTCTCAATTTTTCACCTTGCCACCAGTTCCATAAGCTCTCCCCTCTGCAAAGTGAAAAGCATGCACACAGCTCTTTGCTTCAACATTCTACTCTGCCCCCTAAACTAGAAGAAAGGAAAAATTAATCCTCAAGTAATTATCAATCCCATATATAGATTTTCAACGTGTGAGACATGGGTCCTATACTTGGGCAGTTACTACCTAGAAAAGACAAGACACAAAAATATAAAACCGGAGGAAGTTAGTTAAAGATACCATATAAGAATGCATGTGATGTCTGAGAGATTCTATACTCCAAAGTACGTAAGTTCCAGAGTCATCAAACTACTCAGGTATCATGAATAGGCAGATCTCAACATACAGGCATTAAAAAAATTCTAAAAAAAGGACACAAGTTGACTAGCTGCTAAAAAAAAGTAAGAGTATTCTATTACATTTATGTCAACAAAGGTCTAGTGCCCACTGATAATAAAAATACCTAGCTATATTGTATGTACTGTATAATAGTACAAAAAAGAAAAACTTCTAGCAAGCAAGTACAAGATAAAATTTCAAGAAAAGTCTGTCCACTTCAGTTTGAACCCTGTGCATAGGGATTTTAAACTTTCATAAGAAAATGATTCATTCTAGCACCGTGGCACACTCCAATAGCTCCAGCTACAAGGGAGGCTGAGGAAGGAGGATAACTTGAGCCTGTGGATCAGAAACCAGCCTGGGCGAAATAGTAAGGCCTTATCTCAAGAAAAACAAACAGATTCTTGTTAAATTTGATAAATTACACTTAACATTACAAAACAGTATTTTGATATATATTTTTTCATCTATAAGCTTAACCACAGTCAAAACAAAATTAGTAAGCTAGCTTCATGCCACATAGTCACTAAATATATTGTACTTCATATTAATACTCTATGTTTTACATTCCTTTAAACTATCAATGCTCAAAGGTAACTACTGGAGCCATCATTTCAATAGCTATTTATAAATCACATTTTTAATGTAATTTAAATTACATTGTTTTTCTTTGGGGGACAGAGACTTTTTGAGACAGGGTCTCACGAAATCCAAGATGAACAAGTGGACTTCTGGTCCTCCTGCCTTTGCTTTGCATGGGCTTTGATTACTGGCATTTGTCATCACACATGCTGAAAATCCTTCTCAACGTATTTTATACATAACACTTAAAATTACTCAAAAATTGACCAGTTGGAAAACAAATCAGAAAAAACAAAGGCTAGCAAATAAAGGTGAAAACATCCTATAAACTCATGTATTTTACAGAATCATAGTAGTTAATGAAAATCTTGGACTTCATTCTCAGCCCTCACTTAATAGCTGTTGAACCTAAAAGGTACTATTGTCCCATCTGTAAAATGGCGGTGGCAAAAAAAAAAAAACTGATGTGAGAGGCTGTAGAAAGAATGAACAAAAGTATACAATGTTCATTCATGCCCTTCCTCCTTTCCTGTTTCTGGCAGAAGTATCAAACAAGAAACAAGAAACACGAACTAACAGCTTATGGGGGTAGGGGGGAACTCAAAGTAAAGTTCCAAGTTTTAGTGAGCACTGCTAATTTATCATCCCTGTAAAAAGCCCCCAAAATGATTTTTCTCATAGAATATCACTTCTAACTTTTTTTCTTTAAATTACTGCCTAGGGGCTAGAAAGATGGCTCAGGGTTAAGAGTGCTGGTTGCTCTTGCAGAGGCCCCTGGTTCAGTTCCCAGTGCTCAGATAGTGGCTAACAACCATCAGTAACTCCAGTTCCAGGGGATTTGATACCCTTACCCTCTTCTGGCCCTCACAGGCACTGCATGAGGTGGCTGCACTTACATATATGCAGGCAAAGCACCCATGCATATAAAATTTAAAAAAAAAAAATCCCTGACTAGGAGGCTGGGGAGACAGCTCAGCAATTCAGAGCACTGAGTCTCGCAGAAGACCCAGCTTCAGTTTTCAGCATTAACAAGGCAGCTAACAATCATATGTAACTCTAGTTTCGGGGAATCCAATGCCCTTCTGGCCTCCCTGGGCATTGCATGAATGCCCTGCACTTATATACACACAGGCAAATCACCCATACAAATAAATAAGTAAACAAAAAAAGTTTTTTTTTTTTTTTAACCACATAGTGAACAACCAGAGTTTGATAACTAAGACACTACCCATGTTAAGGGCTGTCAGTATTTCTTTGACAATTACAATTAATCCTCAAAAAATGGTTTGGTTTATTAGTATGGAAAATAACTCAATTTCTGAGACTTGTAAAAATCTGCATTACTGAGCAGCTCTAAATCCTCTATTTTCTGATTTTACTCAGGAAAACATATACCAAATAGTCTTACATGTACTATTATCACTCTCTAAATTATCACTCTCTAATACATGAGCATGAGAAAACAACATTAACTAGTATTTCTGACTCTGATCGCTATGACCTGGGATGCTTTAATGCAATGCAAAGAAGAAAAAAGGAAAACAACAGCCCTGCAATGTTCTAGACAATGTTTCAATGAGAAAATCTACACCCACTCTCTTGAAAACATTATGACCCAAGATTTCCTTAAGAAAGCAAACAGATGTTATAAGTGTGGTTGAAAATTCATTTATAATAAAGTCCAGTCACCATATCGCTGAATTATATGTGTCATCTTTCAGGTTTCTAGGGAAAGTATACTAAAGTCTTTCAATTAAAAATATTTAACGTAGCTGGGCATGGTGGCGCATGCCTTTGATCCCAGCACTCCAAGAAGGAGAGGCAGGCGGATCTCTGTGAGCTCAAGGCCAGCCTGGTCTACAAAGTGAGTTCCAGGCCAGCTTGGGGCTACAGGGAGACCCTATCTCAAGAACACCAAAAAATAAAAATAAAAAATAATGATAATAATAATAAAAATATTTAATGTAGCATTATTTAAAAAACAGAAATTGGGAAAGTGAGTTATAAACAAAATCACTAGAAAATAACACTACAAATCAATTTCATGAAATGGAATGAAATTATAAAGAGAACAAATGGGGGCATTACAGTAATAAACCAGTGACTACATTTTTTCCCTTGAATTTAAAACTCACCTTAGAGAAAAAAAAAACTTAAGGGAGGTGGGAAATACAAAGGGCAATGGATTACATGTAGAAACTAAGGAGCATGGGGGACTAACTGGGAAAAGAAAGGAAAAAAAGAGATGAAAGGAAGCAGGCGGTCCAAGGCAGGTAGAGAGAGGGAAGCAATTGAGACATGCATATGGATGAAGATGCCATGAGGAAGCCCACTACTGCATATGCCAACCTCAAAAACAGATTAACAGATAGCCTGAAAGTGGTAATAATCCCTAGTGTTCTCCATGGGCTCTAAAACATAGTGTTCACTTACCATGTAGAATAAGACATAGTAATTTGTTTTTTTCTTTAAAAAAGTATAAAGACAAAAACATTTTTGAAACAGTGTTGCATGGTATGTTTGGGTGTGTGCCTTAGGCATGTTAAAGATACAGAGAGCAACAACTATAAAAGGGCTGATCAAAAAATGTCAATTCCCCTCAGAGATTCAAAATTGCTGAAATTTCAGAGCATCATTTACTAATAGATAACACACCCTGCCATTTGTATGCAAATATACCTGACCTTGCAGCCAAGAAAAGTTTGCCTGCTTATAAACTATACGTGGTGGTTTATTTTGTATTTGTTTTTAAAAATATTTTAATTTTCTGCATATGAGTGTTTTGCCTGCATGTATATAAGTGCACATAACGCCCACAGAGGCCAGAAGAGAGTTGTCAGATCCCCTGGAACTGGAGTTATGGGTGGTTGTTGGCAGCCATGTGGGTGCTGGGAATCAAACCCAAATCCTCTAGAACAGCAAATATTCTTAACAGCTGAGCCATCTCTCCAGCCCCATGTATTTTGCATTTCTAAACCAGTTTCTGTGGTCTCTATTACAAAGCAGAATTCAGAAACTTAAAAGCAGAGAAAGCTAAAACTTCAAATATAGTCATCTCCATTCTTATTAACTAATGAATTACAATAACAAGAAAGAGTGACACAAAGTGCCATGAGGCAACAAGAATAAACTTTAGATATCTTCCTTATAAAAGCAAGAACATATAAATGGAAAATGTAGAAGTATAATAATCTAAACTGATTAATCTGTTAATTAAAACTTACTATCTAGTTTGACACAGTTTAAGAAGAATTAGAATCAGAAGAAAAGAGTTATTGAAGAGTTAAAATAGTTGTGGGAACAAAAACTGAATGAAGCATTTAGCAGGTTATTCTGAGGGAAATTCACTTTCTCTAAGTTCTTTCTATGTGTACCTTTCTGAGAAGTGCTTTGGCATCTCATCCTTGAAATATCTTCAGGACAGTTAACACAAAGGTTTCATTAATTACCAAAGTCTCTTTCACCAGAAAACAGTAAAAATCTAAACAACATACATGGCCTTTAAATATGTCATAAAACTTAGTCTAAAACTTATTAAGCATTATTATCAACTATAGGTTATTCAAAGACACAAATACATTTCTAAGTATAGGTAGCTGTTCCTATACCTTTTCACACATCTTCTCCATACTTCCTCTATCATGAGCTAGATTACTTTTGTGAATACCAGCCTAATAAAAATGAAGCATAGAAAGTAGTCGCTGAAAGTAAGTTTAGTCAACATGTATAAAAGAACAAAATGCTACAAAACAAACTGAATGCATGCCTAAATTAAATATTAGCAAATGTCCATAAAGCTCCCAAGATGTGATCTGTAATATGTAACAGCTTGTGCTATAACATTAAAAAGTACCACACTGTCTCCCAATGACAATTTTCCTTTACCTAAAGATGAGAATTAGAATAGCAGTGGAGGCAGGCAATATTCTTCTTAGGAGAGTTGGCAACCTAGCAATTATAGTTTATAATGTTTATAATACAAATATAGTGTTTCATCTCTACTGAAGTATAACCCCTGACAGTTTGCTACACATTAAGAGAAAAAAATTCACAACTTAAGCTTAACTAAAATAGACAATCACTGCTCTGTAAAATCTGTTAAGCAGAAAACATGAAATAAATTAAGCATAAGGAAAGCCTACCAGTTTAAGCTACTTCGATGATATGAAAAACACAAAAAATAAATGGTAAAGAAGTATTTTGTTGACACAAACATATTAACAGAATGACAGAATCATTATATTTCAACATGTGATGTAATAGATACATCTACATGTAAGACAACAATTCAATCTTTCTTTGGAAAGAAAACACGAACACACAGAGACACGAATATGTTTAACTGAAGAGTCTTGAAAGTTGCACCTCTGGACTCAATGGATACACCTAACTTCAGCAGAACTTCAGGTGGAAGAACTGAGTCATTACTGTAGCTTTAGGATAGAAATGTTTGTTCTATGATGGAAAATGTTTGCTTTTTAAATTTCTTTGCAGTGAATCTGTTCCTTAGATATATGTAAAGAAAGCACACATTTACTCTCATACACATAAAGCAAGATTTGTGGCTATGCTGGTGACGACTGCTACAACTAAGAAAGGAATTAATCTTGAAAACAAATCTCTAACAGTCTAATAATTAAGCTCTTTCTTGCCCATTATAAAGTATTCTAAAGCCTTACATTTTTATGTGGATATGGACAAAACTATGCAAAAGAAAGGTAACCTCTATTTAATCCATAATCCACTCAGCACCATTTAGCATCTATGAACAGAAGATAGAAATGGTAATGGAAAACTCTAATTTCCCAAGTCTACAGGTATGAAAACATTTCTCTACACATTTCTCCTTGAAGGTGCAGGCTATGAACTCTTGGAGAAGGCTGACAAATGGAGGATAATTAAAGGTCTGTTGACTAAATGAGTAAATGTTACATTTAGGGTGTTCATTCACATCTGTAACTAAATAGGATTTCAAGGAAGTCACTTAATGAGCAGAGTAATTTAGAGAATTCCCTTTTCCCCAGACAGACAGATATCATAAAAATTGGGTTAATCTACCTCATTACTCTTGCTTTGAGATAGGGTCAGGCTATCATTGGTCAGTTCCTCATCATCAGCACTGTTTCTGCTAAGAACTTTATTCTTCTTCTTCTTGCAACCCCCTTCGCTAGCTGGGCTGCTATGGTCTTCGTCATTGCCCTCCTCATTCTCATCTTCATCACTCCCACTTCCCTCATCTTCATCATCCTCATTGTCTCCATCGCTGCCCTCCTTCTGAGATGCTGTTCGTCCTTTCCTCTTCACTACAGTGGGTCTCCAATCATTGTCATCCTCACTGTCATAATCATCCATATCATTCAGCTCTTCCATGGATACAAAATCCAAAAGGGGCCGGTTTCGACGAAGATTCCACTTCTTGGGCTCACTGACTTGCTCCTCCGTAGTGGTGGTTGTAGTGGGGGCAGGAGGGGATGTAACAGCAGGAGGACTCGTGGCTGGCGCGGTGGCAGCGGCAGAAGCAACCACAGTATCAGATCCTGTTGCTTTTTCTTTCTCCTTCTCTCCCTTCTCCTTCTCTTTTCCCTTCTCTTTCTCCTTCTTCTTTCTAGGTCTTTCTCCATTTTCTTCTTCTTCCTTCTTTTCCATTTTAATTAACTGTTTGTCAGATGGCCCTACTTCTTCCTCTGTAGAATTTTTAAGTTGCTCTTCTTTTACTTTAATGTCTTCGTTCAGTTCTTCTTCTAAAATGTTTTCTTCAGAATCACTACAGGAACCTTCTCCACTGTCCTTTGAAGGGTCTTCACTTCCATTACCACTCCCTTCAGAATCTGTTGAAAATATGAGAAAAAAAAACCACACATATGTATATACATACACACACACACACAACACTGACACAAATGAAACCACCAAAACTTGTGAATAACTTGCAAAACAATATAAACAAACCTAAGGCAAAGAATGGTAGACATTCCCAACCTGACTAAATAATAAGCAATGAAGTTGATATAATGGCTTAATTCAATGTAAACTAATGAAGATGACATGAAATGTAAGTTAAAATATGCATTAAAAACAGAAGCAGTACTTTATATTAAATACCTAATACTGTATTTAGTATCCTAGACGTGATTCTTAATTTTATGTGTATGAGTGTTTTGCATGCATGTGTGTAAGTGCACCTGTATTGTGCAATGCCCATGGAGACCAGAAGAGGGCATGAGATCCCCTGTAACTGGAGTTATGGATTTGTAAGCTACCATGTGGGTGCTGGGAACCAAACCCATGTCCTCTGCAACCATAACCAGTGTTCTTAACCATTGAGACATCTCTCTATCCCCAGCTGGAGGTAAATATTTTTCCTAAAAGTAAATGCTCCCCCTGTCACTGGGCACTTGATTATAACTTAATAATAATCTGGACAAAATTCTTCTTCCTTTATATCTTTTTATAAAATATGTACAATTATAATAATGAATCACCGCTAAAACAAGACAAATTTAACCCACTAAAATCATTTCACTTTTTTAAAAAAAAACTTTATTTTTATTTTATGTATATGAGTGTTATGCCTGCATGTGTGTAAGCACACTGTGTCATGCAATGCCTGCAGAGGTCAGAAGGCAGTGTCAAATTCCCCTGGAACTGGAGTTACAGATGGTTAGCTGCCATGTGGATCCTAGGAATTGAACCCGGGTCCTCTGAAAGAGCAGTCAGTGCTCTTAACTGCTGAGCCATCTCTCCAGCCCTATTTTACTTTTCATCCAGCAAAATGACCCTAAATTCTTATTAACTTGTACCAGATCCCTAATATATCAAACCAATTTTAGATCAAGTACAGATGTGAAAATGGACAATTATCAATGGCACAGAAAAATGGAAGATGCCAGAAAATTCATCAGTATTCCTGCTTATTAGAATACTGCCCATATCAACAGAAGTGTGATGTAAACTTTCAAAAGTTGTAACTACTGTACCACCCTAGGATGGCAGAAACTGAGGAAGAAATGAATCCATCCTAAAAAGGAGCAGCTATCAGTTACTGAACTGATAGATATGAATAGTAAGCAGTTCACACAAGCCTATAATGCTTCTAGGAAGTTTCTTCAATGCCTGCCTAGGGCAGCAAAGTCCTTCTCTATCTGGCACTATTCAGTAACCTGCAAATGCTCTCTATATGCAGGCAAATTTTAAAAAAATAAATATTTGGACAGGTACACTAGATAGCTTTAGCTGTCAACTTGACCCACTTGGATTGAGGGAGCCTCAACTGGGGAACTGCCTCCATTGGACTGGCCTGTGGCCATATGTGTGGAGTATTTTCTTGATTGTTGAGTAATGTGGGCGGGCCCACCCACTATGGGTGCTTCCACCCTTGGGCAGGTTGTTCTGTAAATAAACCCTTTCTTCCCCAAGTTGGTATTGGTCATAGTATTTTGTCACAGCAATGGAGAGACAAACTAGAACAGAAAAGGGAATGGAGAAAGAGGAAAAGAAGAGAATTTCACAGCACAAGTAAAACCTATATGGAAATAGTTTGCATCTATAGCCAAGAAAATGGCAATAAAATAGTAAAAAACATCATTGCTTCCATATAATTTTAATTTCCATGAATTTAACTTGTCTTAACCTCTAAAACTAACTGGGTATATTAAAGGTGGAAGAGCTGTCTGTGACTAGTACACAGTATCTAAATCACCTCAGAAGTCCTATACAAACAGCTAATTTAAAAAAAAAAAAAAAAAAACTGTCCTGCATGGTAATTCATATAAGGAATGAAAACAACGCATTTCAACTGACCCTATGAAATCATAATCAGTCTCAAGCTTATCAGCTTATTCAGCAGTGTTCTGAGAAAAACACTCTTATCCTAAATAATCTTGCACAGGGTAAACATGCATTATCATCCAAGTTAACAAGTCCTTACACTTCAGACATGGAACTGGGTATATGTGTTAAAATTTAGAAATTTTCACATTTTCAGGGGTAGTGTGGTAACTGCATCATATAATACACTAATACCCCATTAATATCTAAAGTGCTATTCTATCATCAAATACAATAATTCTGCAGGATGAAGTGTGGATATTTACAGAGTATAAGAAATAAATGACACAAATTAACTCTGGTCAGTTTTAGTCAGGTTTTGCCATCAAATGAGTTTGTGCTAAACTTAAGAAATGCTTACTGATTTCTGAACTTTGGGTATTTAAAAGAATGGGGTTCAATATCAATCCCAAGCAAGTGACTTTTTTCCAGTTCGAAAGTTCTACAAAACATTGAGAAAATTTGGGTCTTACCACTCATAATGATTAAACCCAACCTATCAAGAAAAATCAACACTGGTAAAAACAATAATTTCTAGAAATTTTTAAATAATAGTCTTCTAAGAAATAGGCAGAGTAGACTACTTCAAAGGCAGAGAAGGATCTCTTGTGCACATTAACTATAGAAAATGCAAACATCTTACAAGTAATGCCACAATTAAGAGAGCTAGGAGAAAGCGACAAAAAGGAAAGACACTTTTCTTCTAGATCAATCTTGGAGAAGCTTTTTTTCCAGCAAAAACAATTGTTATGGGTAACTGAAGTTCTCTGGTTCACCAGTAAGAGTACCTGATGAGACCAATCCAACTTTGTATTATCTGGTAAAATTTACAAATGTCATGGGTTGTATGATTTTATTTTTGATGTCAATGCTAATGCTGATTATTTTCAAACATAAACTAGTATTCTTTGATTCTGTTTTGGTTTTGTAATCATCATAGAACACAGTTTTAAAAGACCCAAAGTTTTACATTTGTCAAAATATCATTAGAAGAACATCAAATCTTCTATAAATCCAAGTCCTTGTAGCTTGCCCAATTCCTTAGCAACCAAATACAATATATTAGTCATATTCCAACTGCAGGAACAGAACCTATCAAATTTTATATTTCGATCTCAGGAAAATAACTTTTTCATCTGATTAGTCATCATTTGTTTTTGGTACATATGCACTTGAGAGACAGATATTTATAAGCACAGATAAATAATAATTTTAATCAGAAAGCAAGGTCCTTGGCTAGCTATATTTTTATAAATTACAAAGGAAAAAAAATTCTACTTCCATTAATGCCAAAGAATGACTATTCCCCATGCCACATTCCAAATCTACCATTCCTACACTTAAGGGAAGACAGGAGGGACAGATAAAGAAAGGGAGGAAATAATGAGTAAAGTGAAGAAATTAGCCAGAAACTTCAAGTAAAGCTATCTTATTCATAAATAAGGACAGGGTGAAGCCCCACATCTACAAATCTACAATTAACTTTTTTACATTTAAAAACATATTTAGAATTGAAATCCTACTTCTCATTTGGTTAAATAAAAAGTACTCTCTCTGAAACACAATATGTGGCAATCTCTCCACGAAACAGTCATTTCAACTAATAGTTAAGGCATGCTTTTAGTTACAGAAAAAACCCTCCAGAAATCCCTTCACAATATTCACTGATAAAAATATTCTTTAGAATAACAACAATCATCAATGCCATTACAACAAAGCTCAAGTTTCACCCGTGATAAATACTAAGCAATACAATTGTTGTGGTTCAATTCAAAGCTTTATATTAAGTTTGAAATATCTTTGTCCGAGGATTTTATAAACCTTAGTTATTCTTTTCACAGACACAGTGCAACAAGAATTAGTACCATAAATAAACACAATAGATAACAGACAGATAACTAGCCTACTGGCTAATTCAGTTACCATTGAGCCATCTCTATTTCTCATTATCTCTTGAAAAAAGCCTATCTCTCAGCACAGCTCACTCTCTGCTTCTGACTCTAGTTACAGCTATGTCATCTTGTATTTCTGGGAAAATCTAAACCAGAACTTCTCAAATGGTATCAATGCATTCCCCAGAAGGCATGTGCTGATATCTGGAGCCATTGGTTGTCATAAGGTGGGTGAAGCAGGCAGGGACCATGCTACTGGCATCTAGTATAAGACAAAGATGCTGCTAATCATCAGGGCTACACTATAGAGGTCAAACCTCCATAACAAAGAATTAGCCAACACAGAATGCCAATAGCACCAGTGCATTCTGAGAAACCCTCACCTACAATGAGATTTCAGTCTTATCTTTTGTATTTTTTAGGGTTGTCTCTTTCTCTTCTTTTTACTCAGTCCAAATCCCCAAATAGTAACACCCTTTCCAAGACTCCACACCTTTGACATTTCGTGGTTCCATCAGTTGGCAGTTCCACTCTTAGTTTCTGAATGAAATCATTCGAGATCAACTAGTTTAACTATATCCCTTCCCCAAAGACTTGAACAATACACACAATCAGACATCCTTTTATCATCTATCATTTTATTTATTAATTGTAATTTAACTATTTGTAACTTCACCATATCTGGGAAAATGCTAATTGAAATGTTAGAATTTCGATCAATTTACACAAAGACTTGCACAAAGCACTACCAGAGGAAATTACCTGTAAAGTTTCTTGAATCTTCTAGTTAGATTACTTTTGAGCAATATAGCCTAATTACACTAACTAAATAAATCGTCAATATCTCAGGTTAACCCATTTTATTTTGCATACACAATCTTCTAAAAAATTTAATTTAGATAGCATATAATTATCTCTAATCCTAAACCCAAGTCAAATAAAACCACTTTAACTAGGCCTAGACCACAAAATCGCCAATACTTAACTGCTTTAGACCTACAATATCAGTAATATTTATATGGTTCCACCTAACAGTTCTACATATGGGTCTTCTGGTAGTTATCATAATTTTAATTTTTGCTTTAGGGCATATTTACTTTACAGGGCTCAATCAAAAATGAGATTCTTTTCTTTTCCTTCTTAGAAAGTACCAATCATCAGTGAATCAACTAAATAGGAGATAGAGCTGAAAAGCAAAGGTTAAAAAAAGTTAATCAAGATTTATCAACTTTTTATTGCTGGGGTTGAACTGATTAGTAACCACAATATCCAGGTTATTTGGGTTTAGGATTACATCAATCCACTCAGTATATAAACAATGAAAAGACTAAATTTTGTAGTCAGCTCCATTGGATCGATTACTTTCTAAGTTAATTAATGTAAAAGTCCTTTAAACTCAGTACCTCTGTGACCTGTAAAAGAATAATACCTTCATCACTGAGTTACTGTAAAAGTTAAATGAAATTATACAGTAAATCATAATGCTAATTCTGCTTGCTGATGCTGTTAACAGTAACATAACACAAATTATTTCATCCCTTCTTACCACCCTTAGAAGGGGAGGAAGGGGAGAACTAGAGGAAAGAGGCAAGATTTCAAAATATATTCTCTGAAAGGGATACTAAAAACACAGTAGAGGGGCTAGAAGTGCAGTCCAGTAGCACAGCATATACAAGACCCTGAGTATGATCACTAGCACCTCAAGGGAAAAACAAAAAAAAAAATGTGTTAGAGGGAAGAAATTCAAAAGGCTTTTATTTCTCAGTTTACCTAAATTTCCACCAAAGGGAGTAGAATTACTAAAACTTTTTAATGTTCATATGCTCACTGACATTTTCCACATATAATAGTTCACATAATTTTATGTTTCTTGGATTCCTTTCAATTAAAACTTAACATATGAGGCACACACAAGAAAATACACAAAAGAAAAACCAAAAAGTTTTGTTCTGGTTTTATACTGTGTGTGATTTTCATAACCTTTGTAAATCACTAACTGGAATAAGCAAGCATATATGCTACACACAAGGTACAGCACCTCCTGTACCTTGTTTGCTCTAGCCAACTTTATTCTATAAGAGCACTAACAGAAGTGGAGTTCTCTCCGGGTGCCAAGTGAGTTGAAAAGGAAGAACCCTGTTCCGGGCTATTTGTGGTCCACATTATTCTTGGTTTTCTATTCTACATCGAGGTATCACAATGTTTCACTTGGTCCATTATATAAGCATACATATATTTTAGGGTAGAGAATAGGAGAAAAGCTTTTGCCTGCTTCAAAACTTCCCTTCCCTGACTGCTAATTATCTAAATATGGTCGAAAACAGAAGCAATAACAGGTTCTAGTGATAGTATTTTAGGAAAATGTGAGAAGCAAATGAACAAAATAAAGTGTATGTGCTTTCAACTTTAAATCAGCATATTGCCCAAAACTGGTTCTTAAAAAGAAGTTAAAAATGTACCCAACTCGAGAAAGTTGGGAAAGGGGAAGAGAAAGGAAGCATTTACCTGAAGCATCTCCAACTTTAAAATCACTGTCATCTGAACTATCATAATCGAGAGCTTCTAGAAGAGAAGCTGCCAAAGGCTTCACCTGCCTCCTCTTGGAGCTGCGGTCCACTGTGGAGAGAGAAATAATACAATCATTTCACAATCACACCAAACACAGGAGAGTTGTGATGCTGAGGGAAATTACCATGACCTCGTGCAAGGAATCTAAGTTCTCAGCACTGGGCTGGGGGAAAAGTTGGGCTGGGAACACTGGCTGCAGAGGGCGGGACAGTCCCGGGCTACCGCCTAGGCCAACACAGACCAGTCGGAATTCATCACGCAGACCCTCTCCTTGTGCATCTTATGGAGGGGGCGTGCTTCTGCGACTCCTTGGTAATCAATCTCTCATTAGACACAAAAGTGAACCGAAAACGCATAGCCCTGGGGATCAGGGAAGCCAGGGTGTGATGTTCCTGCAGGACCCACCCAGCCTCCCTGCCCCCGCGAGCCCTGCCTTCCCGAAGGACGGAGAGCGACCACGGCCTCGGATACACTTACTAAGGAATCCGTGAGGTGGTCGTTTGGAGGAGACCTAGGGAGAGGCTGCGGGAGGCAAGGCAGCCGGGACGCGCCGAGGGCCACGGAGACAAGTCCCAAAGGAGCAACTGAGCGGGGCGGCCCGGCCGACCGAGCAGGGGCCACCCCGGGGCAGCCCACTGTCACCCTCGTCCGCCCTCCACCCCGGCGCCCCTTCCACGGCGCCTCGAGCGCCGGCCCCGCAGCCAGCCCAACCCGGCCGCCCTGCGGAGGCAACTGCCCACGAAAAACTAGAAAGAAAAATAAAAGAAAGAAAAACTTTATTAGCCTGCACCAGAAGCAACAAAAACCCAGAACTTCCACAGTCTGAGGCCGACTGAGACAATAGGGAAAGCAACGACCCGGATATAGCTCTGTCAAGAAGGAAGTGAAAACGCCAGGCCGAGCGCAGCCCGCTAGCAACGGAAGCTGAGAGCGCGTGCGCGGGGACAGGAGCCGAGCAGAGCCGAGCGAAGCCGAGCAGTGCCGAACAGAACCGCATCATCCCTAGAAGGATGAGATAGCCCTTCTCTGAACCGAAGACGCTCAGCTCATAGCCTACCAAAGCCCTTACCTCGCTCCACCTATTTCCACATCTCATTCCAAATCTCTGAAAGCCAATTCCTGATTCTGGTTATTTTTTAAGAATGTTAAATTTATGCAAAAGGAATTTTGCCTCCTTAAATAACTACTAAAAGATACAGTTGCTCTCACTTAGTGCTTCAATAAACTGCTTCTCCTTAAGATAGGAATGGGCAAAAATGTATTTTCTGCAAACAGTTAATGTAAAAGTTACATTAGACCTAGCTTAATTGCTGATTTTGGAAAGTATTAATCTCACAAAGAAATTTTATCCTTTTAATTGCATTAACTCTTGCGCTGTATAAAGACATTCCATATAAATAAAGTATTACTAAAAGGAAAAAATATATAAAGAATAAAACCAGAGCAAAATTCGTTCCCACGAGTATGTTACGAAGTTTGTTTGACTGTTTGTTTGTTTGTTTGTTTGTTTAATTTGAGACAGGAATTCCCTGCATATTGGGCCCAGACTGACTTTGAATTTACAATAATCCTCCATCCACAACCCCTCAGATGCTGGGATTACAAGTGTGTACCATTATGCCCAGCTTGATCTGTTTCTCGGGATGTGTGTGTGCATAATTATGAAATGGTGTTGGTATCCAATTAGGGAAATTATTTTTAAGGTTAATTTTTAAACCCATAGAAACATGAGGACAATGGCAGTCATCCAATAGTTTCAGATGCCACATGATATTCTAAAAAGCTATTAAAATACTGGAATCTGAAGCAGTTTTAATGGTTTTTAAAGTGCTCTTACCTTGAGAATCTCAGAGAAAGGTTTGGATGATGCTTATTCAATTCATTTATTCAGCAAATATACTTTGAATGGCAATGTGTGTAGCATAAGAAAGTGTATGAAAGACTTCAAATGAAGTTTATAGACATCAAATCATATCATGCAAACAAGACGCTAACTCTTTAAGGAAATTTGTGCTGATTTTTTTTGTAATGGTAACTGGAGGTAGATGTATAACATCAAGCTTGAAAACTTAGTAAACATTGTTTAGAGGATGCACCTTCTGCAGAATGATTGTTGACTTTTCTCTGCCAGAGTTCAAGATACAGCTGAAGATATAATCAAGTAAATTAACTGTTTGTTACTCTGGGCAACCAAAGAAAAAGTACACATGGAAAAGGAGATGAAGCACACAGGCAAAGTATCCTATAGGAAGTTATATTTAGATCCAGACAGAAGGATCTAAGTACGTATCTAAACTGACAAAGAAAGACATGCTCCAGACGAAGGAAAACATATTTATGCAAGTGCCCATGACCAAGAGCATGCTGAGACTGTCTGATTGCACATAAAGATGTTTAAATAATGGAGACATAAAATGTTAACACCTTGAAATTAAGATTTATTGTTTGATATGGTTTGTCACAAAACAAAGGGAGGCCCTTGTGCTGGATAGCTTCAGATGTCAACTTGACACACCTGAGAAGAAGGAACTTCAACTGAGGAATTTCTTCTATGGGATTAGCCTGAAGGCATATTTGTGGGGCATTTTCATGATTGTTGAGGAATGTGGGAGGGGCCAATCCACTGTGGGTAGTGCCACCATTGGGCAGGTGATCCTGAATTACATAAGAAAGCAGGCTGAGCACAGACCAGAGGAGCAAGCCAGTAAGCAATGTTCCTCCTTGATCTGTGCTTCAGTTCCCACTTCCAGGTTCCTGCCTTAATTTCCCTCCATGATGAACTGTAAGCTGCAAGCTGCAAGGGGAAATGAACCCTTTTGTTCCCCAAGTTCCTTTTGGTCAGTGTTTTATCACAGCAATAGAAAGTTACTAGTTCAGGCCTCATTACAAATAGAAAAAAGATAGTGCTATTCTAAAGCATGTAGTGGCAAGTCATAATGTAATCAGCTGGAATAAGGTGTCTGTTGATCACTGCCTTTGGCTACAAGTGTTTATTATAATTGAACATCAAGATGAAAATGGAAAACAAATGGCCTGACCTGGGCTGGGCAGCAACTCTGACAACCTCTGGAAAATTAAGAAAATAATGATTAGGAGGCTGAATGTGGTGGCACACACCTTCAATCTTAGCACTTGGGAGACAGAGGCAGGTAGGTCCTTATGAGATGGAGGCCAGCCTAGTCTACACACTGAAGTACCAAGTCAGCTGTGGGCTAAAGGGAGACATTGTCTCAAAAAGACCAAAAAACGAAAGAAGAAAGAAAGAAAGAAAAAAGAAAGAAAAGAAAGAAAAGAAAGAAAGAAAAGAAAAAGAGAAAAAGAAAAATGATGAAAAAAACTAGTCCAGGGCTTTCAATTCTTGCTTCAAAACTTCTGTCATGAAATAGAGCTGCTTTCTTACTCAAAACTAGGATTTCTCAGTTTGGGTACTATAGATACTTGGGGTTAAATAATTTGCAGTGGAAGGTCTCCCTATATTTGTAAGATGTCCTGTCCCACGCTATCGTCTCGCCAGCAAGAATGACGCGGCACACTCAGGATCCTTCTGCAGAAAAGCTTTAATGCATCTTGAGAGGGAGAGCATAAGCTTACAGGGCGAAGACCCCGAATGTCGGAAACCCAGCCCTTATATAGGTTAGTAAGCCCGTCTTGGACGTGGCAACTCTTGATTGGTCGCAAACTCATCAGCCCATATCACGCCACGAGGTAGGCAGAGACTAGAAGGTGGAAAATTACTTCGGGCATGCGTACTGACTTATTTACTGCTCAGCATGAACCGGATGTGAACGCCATCTTGTAATGGCGTCTGCAGGGACGGCAGGCAGCTCCCCACACTCATGCACATGGTCGTGTCACCTGCCCTCTGTGCCATAAAGATCTTCGTGTGACCTTCCCTCTCTGATGTGCAGATGTTTGTTTCACCTGCCCCTCTGACGTGCAGATGGTAGTGTCACCTGGCCCCTATCATGCACATGGTCGTGTTACCTGTCCTCTTAATAGTGCACATGGTCATTTCACTTGCTCTCGTTGTTGTGCTCATGGTCCTGTCACCTGCTCCTTCTGCCATAAATATGGGCGTGTCACCTGCATCCTCTGATGGGCAGTTGGTCGTGTCACCTGCCCACCTGACTTGCAGATGGTCGTGTCACCTGACCCCTCTGACGTGCAGATGGTCGTGTCACCTGCCCTCTCTGATATGCACATAGTTGTGTCACCTGCCCTCTCTGACGTGCACATGTTTGTGTCACCTGCTCTCATTGTCATGCTCATGGTCGTGTCACCTGCCCTCTCTGCCTTAAAGATGGGCGTGTCACCTGCATCCTCTGACGGGCAGTTGGTCGTGTCACCTGCCACTCTGACGTGCAGACGGTGGTGTCACCTCCCCTGTCGCGAGCCGGGACTCTGTCCAGCAGAGTCCCGGAAAGACGACACAGAAACCAAGGTGAGGTTCAAGCTTCTGTTTCTTTTCCTTCCTTTATTCTCTCTTATTCTTTCTCATATTCTCTTCACTATCTCACCCACTATGATGCTGCTTCATCGTTCTCCTACATCTCTCACTTCATTCTCTCTCACTTCATTCTCACTTCTCATTCTCTCTCACTATGATGCTGTCTCGTAGTTGCTGTTCTTCAGTCTTCTGTTCTGTTCTGTTCTCCTCTATTACACACCTCAGCTGTTCATATAGCGTTTCCAACAGCCCTCCCTCTAGCCAGGACCAATCAGGGCACACA